TCATAAACTGATACTTATATCAAAACCTATATACTTAAGAGAAAAGCTGATCTTTAGGTGTAATATTCATAATAGACATATTAGATTTCCAGATTTGATAACTACACCTATTCACTCCATAACTTTATTCCAGCGTTCTTTCACGTACAGGGCTTCAGTGTTATACAATGCCTTGAGTCCTGAATTCAAAACCATGTCCTTAAATTGCTTCAAGAAAGCTGTCAAATCTCATATTTACTTGGATCCATAGTCTTAATTAGATTGCTATAGATATATTGTTAAATGATTCTTCACTTCCCTTGTGTACATGTAGCAAACCTTGGTGCAACATGTACGTATGTAATGTGTGTATATGTATGTATGTATGTACATATGTATATATGTATGTATGTACTGTGTATGTATATATGTATATTTTGTTTGATATCTGCTACTTAACAACATGTTTTTTTTTGCATGGGTGGTTAAGTGTAAGAGTAGCATGTTGCTAAACTTCGCCACCATATGCAACTCTTGTTTTTCTGTATGAAGTACAGTTTCAATAAAGACGATTATTATTATTATTATTATTATTATTATTATTATAACTAATGGAAAGTGCTGAGTACTTGACGTCATTTCTTTAGTTACCTAAATGGCCAACTTTTCTTTCATTTAACAAACTTCGTGTCTCTTGCCGTCTCCGATATCCCAATAGTAAGAGTCGAATTATAATTACTCAGTATTATCCTGACACTTCTTGGTCTTGGAGCCAAAGTCTCAGCATAGTCGATCTGTATTCTATTTATAACTCACCCAAACGCTAGTTTAGGATCATCCCCGAATATTTTACTCACGATTCGAATCTTACATTTCTTCAAAACAAACACAGGCTCTCATCATCCCACAAAAGGTGGGGATACACCCCTGTTCGAAATTGCGCACTAGACAAGGATTTTATCTGTAAATTTCGCTTTATGTTTGTATCTAACATTGTTGGCTTCATTTCAGAAATATTCAAAGTGAAATACTTTTCGTCAAAATCTAAAATAACGATTTTTCCATTGGCAAACTGTACCCGCCTCAGTTGACGACAGCATCTTTGTATACAAAGGAGTTGCGCTTGTGAGTATTTGGGGTACTGAAGTCTCTTTCGATATTTAAGATCATTCCTTATAAATTCCGTACTCTTAAAAGATCTGTATTCACAAAATACTGCTCCATGGACCCCTTGTCATTGAAAAAACTTTATTGCCTATAGGAATGATATCAGAAGATGCCGCAGAGGCTCGCAATAAACACTTTCAGTTATACCGCCAAAATTATGTTCGGAAGTTTATCAGAGGGTCTTGCAATCTTGATATAAATAGATTATTATTGAGCTCGAATCCCCTGATAATTGGCATGAGACCTACTCCGAGAAAAATTACAAAACTGTTGAAATGCTCCTGCTAAAAGAACCGATGGGCCAGTCTAATTTGTCTGGTGATAATGTAATGATGATAATGACGATGATGATAATGATGAAGACTCAGCACCGGAGATAGGAGACTATTTAGATGATTCTTGGTTGTGATCTTCTTGACAACATTTTTTATATTTTTTTAATAAATATTTTCACGTTTTTCAACTCTAAGCATTTTATTTCTTTACCTGCTGTTCTTAGTAGCATTATTAACCATAACAGAGCTAATTACAGTTTTTGAAGTAGCTTAAAATGAAAAAAAATGTGTCGTCCGGATTTTTAATTTAAATACCCGTATGTGCAACGTGTAGATACTTTTTATTATTTTTAATTTATACGACATCTAAAAGTGAAAACTTTAAAATAAATAAATGTCAACTGATAGTAAAGTAAGTAAACAGACTTTTGTTTCCAAAGGCAACTTGATATTACTTTGTGTTTGTTAAAATTAAAGCCAAAGAATTTTGTACCAATACTTTAAGGACATACGTTAGCTCTATTTCATGTTCCAAGGGCTTAAGCCAGCAGATGTTAGCATGCACTAACAAGCACATGATTCAAATCGTTAATTTATACATTTGAATGTAATATTTGAATTGGCTGCGTCTACATAGATATATATTAATTATTGGCAAACACATTTATATTCACATCTCATTCATCTATGGATGACAATATTTAAATCATTTCAACTCTAATGAAGTATAGAATAAATATAGAATAATAATTAAAAAATCATTATGCTAAATTAAATCACGGCATGATATCCCCTAGCTATTTGTTATAATTTTGTATTCATCCATATATGACTGTAAGAGGAGAATTAAATTTATAACGTTTGCTGTACAATGGAATTTTAAGCATTAACCAGGAATTTTTTGCAAGGATTGCATATAATGCATGAGTGATGTGCTTTGGACGGATTGAATCGCATTACCTTGAAAAACAATCATATTATAATGCAATCAAAATGTTTGTTTAGCTTGATAGCAGTCCACAAGTAATTCTGTAGATCCATATATAAATTCCTGTAACTTCCATAGGTGCTTGATGCCAGACAAAAATATTTGTGCTTGATACGTACAATATCCGATAATGAAATGTTAAAGGAAATTATAGACATCTAGATTGAGACAAATTCATATTTCAAACCGAAAATTCTCTTTTGATTTGACAGACCACGCCTGCATTCCACTATTTGTCCGATAATATCTCACAAGTATCGATAACTTCCAAAGTAGTGACACGTCTGACAATGCGATCTGTTGCCTATTTCCAACAGCTTGCTGTTCTTACTTTCGTAGTGGTCGATTCTGCTGATAGATGCCACTTTGTGATGTATGTCGATATGGGTTAGTTTGTCTGGACATACATTCAACTTTGACAGCTTGCACGTCACTTTTTAAGTCAGAGGACTGTACTGTTCCTCAAAATGAGTTTCGTTTGTTATAGTTACCCATTTTGACCCATTTTCATTATACAGGGAGGCGCATCGAAAACGAAACAGACGCATTTACTGGCAGCTCTGTTTTTTTTTTGAAAAACGCTCAGACCTGTCGATTTTGTTTTCGAGGGGGACACAAGTTTGACAAAAAATCACGTTAACACGTGAAGCCCCCTGAGCGGGGGTGCCAACAACCCTAAAATCATAAATGGAAAGGGGGGTCGAGTGACACCTTATTTTAAAGGTCTTTCAATTCCCTTCATAATGATACAAAATTAATGTACTTACGTTCAGTAGTTTTCTTGCGGCCCGCTTCACGGGTCATGTATACATATATGTATACCATATAGTATAGTATATACCTATTAAAACTCAGTAATAATGTTGTATAGAAAGATTTTATAATGCGGCCCTCCAAACTGCATTTTTTAAGTGGCACTTGGGCCACGTTAAGTTGGACAGCCCTGACTTAGACCTATAACTAATAGAACATCTGAACAAATAAACAATGCACGAATCTAGATGAAATTTTTACACAAGCTTACTTCTATACCAAGGACAAAAAAGCTTTGTAGTTTTTGAAAAGCGGTATAGTGTTGGCGGAGAATAAGGTCAAAAATGGAAAAAATGGTCAATTTTCGTTTTCATACGTTTCAAAGGATCCTGATCATCATTGAAAGAATTTTTAGGAGCAACAAATTGGAGATCTGGATTGTTGGGGGGTGAGTGAAGATATGTCTCAATCTTTTGATGTCAGAATATCTATACACATATTAGACATATTCACAGATCACAAATTTCCCCGTTCATTTGCCCTTAAAACAATAACAGAGGAATGCCTCCAATACGCATGTCTACTCCTGCTCTCTGCGTTCACCAGCTGGCGTACCAGTTTCAGAGGGTCTAACTTGTGCTGAACTGATGGCGTTGCAGAGTCGGCCCACTCGACGCCATTTTTCAAATCATACACGAATAATATCGACCGATCACACACTAGAAACCGTTAATGCACACTGTGATTCTGATTCCGGCATGTTTGCTGTTTTTATTAGTAAAAACAAAAGTTTTACATCAAATATGCTCATGATGATGTAAATATATTCATCTTTTTTATATGGCATTTCTCATTGTTTGCGTTGTGCATGCATATTGGCAGTTCACATCTAACTAATACATTTTGATTGGTTATTAGCGTTGAAATTGGATCCTGAATGACATCAGTGCATTGGGACCAAACAGGCGAGACACTGTCACGCTGTACACACTCAATTTACCGGCGCATAGTTGTGATGCCGCACAGCTTTATGAATGTTTGTTTTAAATGATGATTTTCTGTCATATTTATATTCAAACTAATAATATAGCTTTCGTTCATGGACTGCTGTTTCGTGTTATCTTTCAACTCATCAGCAAGGTCTAGGCTGGATCTCGGAAGCTGAACAACTAGCATCTAAATAAAGTCACGAGTAGCGATTCATCAGGACAGTCATGCTTTGTGTTATTTCAACTTCAATTTCCGACGTCCATTTTAAGTGTATTACAATAAATCATTTTTGCATCGACAAAATGTCCTAATTAGATACTTTATTTACAATAATTCATTTGAATTATTTTATTACAATACAGGCCAGAATAAGAAAAAAAACAGAATAGAAATTTTCGCTTAAAGTTCAAAAATAACTAATATACTTGGGGCATATCCGTTACCACCGAGAGTACAAGGCCAAACAACAGGGCTCTGAAAAGCCTGTGATGTAACGCAGAGTAGGCCTATGCATGTTCTTATGGAGTTTCGCGATGACTGGCTGCCAAGAGAACTGCGCCATTTCTCTGGGGTGTTGTCATATCTAGGTTTGATATAGCAGTATCGAAATCTCTACTAATTAGTTGTACCTCTCTGTGGGCGAATTTCCAAGATGTACTCGGGGCCTGCGCAGCTTCAGTAATGATGTGATGATTCTTTCTGATCTGCCTCAGTATGTCAAGAATACATTTTCGATATTACGTTCAATCTGTCACTTGTGAAGTCTAATATTCCATTCAAAATTGGAATATGTGGCAACCTCGCCAACTAACCTCACATTCTGAGCTATGCTATGTAAACTGAATATTATTGATGTTTTAAACTTATATTTGTGTTTCGCGATTGTTTAGCTAAGTTTTCAAAATGCCTTACAAGTGCTGCGTTCCTAAATGTGTCGGTGATTACGGGAAGGGTCCGAAGGTACACGTATTTTCGTTTCCATTAAACGAAAACTGTCGTAAAAGATGGCTCAATGCAATCCCTCGTAGTGATTTAGTGGTTACCAAATACACCCGAGTATGTAATTTGCACTTTGCTGAGGACAGCATCATTTGGGAATCCACCTTCCATGGCGAAAATACAGGTAGGACCATTACTGTACCCCTTAAGTATCCAAAATTGAAGGCAGATGTAATTCCAAGTATCTTTGCAAATTGTCCAAAATACCTTTACAAAAAAAATTTAATGTCCAGAAATCTTCAACTAATCGATATACATATTGTATAACACGCACAACTTAAAAATAATCACTACAGTAAGTATATACTAAGTGACATATAAATCCGAACACCCAGTTTAAATGGTTTTATTTTAATAAAATTTTGTATAAGTACTTAATGAAGCATAATAAGTAAATGATAAAAATTTCAAAATGATTGCACTGCTTTAAAGCCCTTTGACCTTTAATAATGTGTGGATGCACCCTGATGTGCTACGCATTCTCCAACGCGCCTAGGCATGCTTCTGATCAGGTGGTCAATGTCCTCCTGTGGTATCTCATTCCAGGCAACCACCAACTCCTCTCGAAGTGCTTCTAGAGTCTGAGGAGGACGTTGCAAATTGAGCAATCTTCTACCCATCATATCCCACACGTGCTCAATTGGGGATAAGTCGGGAGATCTTGGTGGCCATGATAACAATGTGACATCATTATGTTGAAAGAAGTCTATTGTGACTCTTGCAACATGTGGTCGGGCATTATCTTGTTGGAAAGTTGGATCTGCCAGGGTGTCAAGATAGGGTAAAAAATGGGGTTCTAGAACTTCGTGGATATAACGCTGCGCGTTCATGTTACCTCTGATGAAGATTAAAGGTGACCTGGAACCATAAGCTATAGCACCCCAAACCATAACTCCAACACTGTGATGAACATGTCTTTCAACAAAAAAACTGTGGATTCCTCCTTTCACCACGTCGCCTTCTAACCCTGGCACGACCATCGTGCATGCCTGAACAAAATCGAGACTCGTCACTAAAGACAATACTGTTCCATTCCTGATCCCAGAGTGACCGTTGTCTGCACCACTCAAGGCGATTACGTCGGTGTTCTCGAGTTAAAGGGAGGACCCAGTGTGGCCGGTATGAAAACAAGCCAAAACTTCTCAATCGTCGGTAAACACTTCGCATGCCAATAGGTCTTCCGTGTTCTGCAAACCATTCATTTGCAATGGACCTGGTAGTGGAGAAACGGTCCCTTAAGGCCAATAATCTTAGGCGGCGATCTTCACGGTCTGTTGTTCTACGGCGGCGTCCAGTGCCCCTTGCTCTTTGCGTACGGCCTTCTCGAAGCCATGCCTGACAACACCTAACCACAGTGTCTACACTTCTTTGCACTCTAACTGCAATTGCCCGAAAAGAAAGTCCAGCTTCCCGAAGTCCCACTATACGGCCCCTTTCAAACTCACTAAGTTGACGAAATCGTTCAAGTCTCCGTACTCTAGGCATCGTAACCGATCGTAAAGGATGTCAAGAACCAAAATCCGCCAACGTTGATTCTTTACTGCGGCTGAAATATTCATTTTTAGAGCGTTAGTGAATTAAAAAAACTTTTAGGAAAATAAAACCATTTAAACTGGGTGTTCGGATTTATATGTCACTTAGTATATTTGTGTGGTTCAAAATACGGTCAATTGTAACTTCCATTATTTTACCATTATAAATCGACTAAGCGTCTCAACTCATGGTAGCTAATTTAAAATTTTTCATTCTTCTGTAGCGCCTGATGAAGAAATCTTCTTTTCTCTACTTGAGTCAACAGTATTATAATCTATATATACAGGGTGTAAACGTTATGGTAGTCATTATTAAAATGGATATAGGAAGTGTTCAGCCCACTAATATTCGCACTCGTGAAAGACAGGTTACTGTAGATCAGGAGGAACAAATTTTAAATATCGTGGAAATCAATGCAGATATCAGCACTCGGGAATTAGGCTGCCGCGTAGGACTATCGCATACCATGGTCTATAGAATCGTACGGGAAAATTTGCTTTATCCCTACTATGTACAACGAGTGCAGGCCTTGTTACCAGAAGACTTTCCTCGCAGACTAAGATTCTGTCAGTGGTTTTTGCACAAACACATAGAAAATCTGGATTTTTTTAAAAAGATTCTAGCGACGGACGACAATACGCGAAAACAATTTTAATGCGGCTGAAATAATAAATGGACAACTTTGAGGACCTAGAGAAAGAAGAAACTGGGTTCGTCGTAATGAAGCTTGTGTGGAAAGTGGAGGACGACATTTTGAACACCTTCTTTAAATACAAAAAAGGTGCAGTGTGGGTTTTAAATAGAAAAGCAATGTATGTATCAAAATTGTGTTCCCTATTTATAAGTGGATTTTTTTAATACGTTCAATAAACTTTCACACACCAGTTGAAGTGCTGAGACAGTTAGTGTTAAGTCCGCTTTTTTAATTGTTTGCATTTTACGAGTACATCATCAAATAATGAAATAATACCTAAGATCCGCAAATAACAAACTCCATCTTTATTTACACTGCGTTCCGTCGTAATTTGCGTCTGGAATTGTGGGTTTGTCCGATTTTATTTTACTTTAAAGCTGCTTTTCTCTAAAAAAATGCCGTTTTGACGCCCATGTTATATGAAACTTTTTGCTACTTTTAACCCCCTCGATCACCCATTTATATAATGACTATCATAACGTTCACACCCTGTATATTGGTTATACGATGAAGAAGTTATTTTGCCAATGACGTAGAACATAAAAAGGTTGCTCGTCGGGAGCTAATTGCAGAGTGGGGGGAAACTGAATCGATCACCGAGCACGCGTTGGACAAAATCTTAGATTATCCGTTTTTCCAATTAGAACAGAATCTCACCTCTACCGATCGATACTCGTGACATTGAACATCCTGGAGAATATCGTACACTATCAACCAAGTTCCATGAAACATTACAATATCATCCGTTATGAATAATGGGAAATCTCCGATGCGCCAGGAAGATTGATACCTTGTTAAATCATGATCGGTCATACATTTCTAAGTAAACCGTCGAGCACGTGTTTTGTGACGTGTATTGTTGTTTAATCGTTGCAAAACATGCTATTAACTTTAGTCGTTAATAGACTTTTGCACATCGTGCGTGTTGCGAATGGTATTTATTTTAAAAAATGCTCCTGTTTGCTGTAGCAGTTTTATGTTTGGATTTGCGTATTGGTGAGTATATAATTGTATTAGCTAAGTAATCAGAATCAATAATGTATAATTGTACGTTTTCATACTCACGATTGATTTTGGTCAAATTTGAAAGGTAAAAAAATCACGTTTCGTCAGCAGTTCATAAGCAAATTTATTTATTTTATTTATTCAACAGATAATATTCCATTTATAGACCAAAATCATAAATTAGAAATATTACAAAAGCCTAACTTCTATCTAAGGCGCTCCTGCAGAACACATTTCAGCTCCGACATAGAACATCAGAATATGTCACAAAACTTACAAATACTGTCATAATTCAAACCCTTTCAGGTGATTTCAAAATCAAATTTGTGTTAGCACGACTACAAAAGAAAGTAACATTACATCTTGAAACGGATCTTGGCGTTAAAAGCTGTAGTTGTGATAACAATTCCGAAGAAACTATAGTTCCATGCAAGAGTTTAAACAAAAAAATAAAAAAATGTGTTTCCTTCTCACATTCAAAGACGTCATTTTAAATCTGTCTTACAGAATTTGATAGTCCGACCCACGTTGAGGGTAGAGTTCGTAGCACTTAAAAGCTAGATATTTAAGAAACTTTTTTTGAACATAATCTAACCTATTTATATAACAGTTATAGTAGGGATTCCATATTAGGGATACATACTCTACAGTATATTCAGATAAGAGATAGACCGGACATAAACAAGACCACGTTATCATCGAACGCTGTATCATTCGGCAGGGACGTATTAAGAGTCACGCAGTACATATTTTAGATAGTAGATGCTGCTTTGCGTAACTTTGTAGTAAATTAGCACAATTCGATGTGTATACGATTGGTGATGGATATAGGATCATGTGGGGGTGGGGTAAGAAATATATAATAATGTAAATATACATAAGGGTTTCAAAATTTTCGCTTCGATTTCCAGCTTCGGATGCCGCCTGATGTTTGGTGAAATACAGTCGAATATAATCTCAAAATGGCGTTTAAATTAGCCTAAATTAAAAATAATCGTATATCTCTTAAAATTGCTTTTAGAATATTGATTAGTATATTTTTTGATTTCTAGGTAAATATGTAACCAAATTAAAACGTTCAAAACGTAAAAAAATGTGCATGGTTGAACATTGTCAAAAAGTAGATTCTTGAATAGGTGTTGCCAAAATGAGTTCAAAAATGTCAATAATTAATTAAAAAATACAGTCGCTTTATAATTACTTATAACTTACCGAATTTGATGAACATCTTTTATTGGAAAGATGAGCTTGATGAGCTTTCATCATCGCTACTGCCTGAAGCACCAAAGTCAATAATGAATGGCTCGACTTGTTCCTCTAAAATATTGTCCAGTTCCCACATTCTCTTTTCAACTTTGTCTTTCACGTGCTTAATACAGTTTTCCCATTTTTGCGCTGTTATTAATTCTAGTGCTACTTTGAAAAGTCCTTTGAGGTCACAAAATTTAAAAGTTGTATTGTGCTTAGCTATATAATTTTTAACCTCTGCCCATATGAGCTCAATGGGATTGAGCTCGCAATGGTATGGAGGTAAACGGAGCACAGTTTTATTTTGACTTGCTGCCATTTCGTCAATGGCGTATTTTTGATATTCCGCCTTGTGATCCTTGACAATTCTTAATAATTGTACTTTCAGCATTGCTTCTTCAAAGTTGATATTTTTCGAGCGGAGCCAATTTTGAACATCAACTTTCCTTGAAGCCGTTGTTGGGACCTTCTCCATTCTTCGAGAATGATAAGGCGCATTATCCAACACAATTACTGCGTTTTCCTCTAAGTTCGGTAAAATTTTTGAAAACCACTGTTCAAACGATTCGCCATTCATTTCCTCGTGGTAATCTCCAGTTTTCTTAGACTCAAAGCACCACAGACCGTCAACAACAAATCCATCCTCACTGCCAATATGGCAGATAATGAGCCTTTTCCCTTTACCTGGAAATCGAAGTACTAACTGGTGTAGATTTATTTCAATAAGCGAACCTTTTTCAAATGTTTTCATCACATTCAGCGAAAAAACATTGAAACATGAGTATCAGATTGCTATAATTGGGATTATTCAGTCATATTGAAAGAAAGAATATTGAACGTCGAATGATTACTCAGCGCTTCACAATTTAATTTAAAGTTATAAACCTTTAAAAAATGAATGATCAGGAACCTGAAATACGCGCAAATATTAATATTAACAAATTATAACTTTATAAAGCTTAAAGTATGAATTAAAATGATTAGAAATATTAGGAACGGTACACAATATAAAACTTAATAACTTTTTTTAAGTTTATAATATTCGACATATTTTAAGATTATATTAAAAAATTATTGAAATATCGAAAACATATAAAAACATGGCTTAAAAAAGTTCTAACAAATGAAAATGACAATAAAACATCCACGCATTTTATCGAAAGTTATAAAAGTTTTGTTACTTGTAATATGTTTTATCTGCCCCCTGGAATTAATGTTTAGAACCTTGTTCCCAAGGTTTGAAAAACATCCGATTGTTGTCTATTACTCGTATTTACCTGCTGGATTTTTTAATCTGGTGGACAGTCCATCTAGAAAGGCCCTCCTGGATGAAGTTACAGAATCATCAACCCATACTTCACTTGTAGTGTGTCCTGCGTTTACCCACGTTTCATCAAGGTAATAAATCTTCCTGTTTTGATTTCTATATTTCCCAATTTTTGTTAAATAATCCCTCCTCCATAGCACAATTTCTTCTCTATCCAGTAGTAAACTATTACGACCCCGTTTTTTTCATTTGAAATTTAAATGCTTCAGTAACGCATGGAAAGTTGATCGTTTGAAATTTGGCAACGTTGTATATCCATTTACCTCCTGCAGTACTTTATCTATAGTAGGTATTTCATTCCTAAAGACCATGCACTTTCCTCCTAATCGCATGCTTATCAGCTTCATCCAATGATTTAACAATACTTTTGCGATGTTTACTGGTCATTGGCTCAGAAAAGGTGTGATTTTTTTTGTATTGTCTTAACACATTAAACACTGATGCGCGACACACCCTAACTTTGTGAGAAACCTTCACAACAATTTCTTTGATGGTTGATGCCTCGTTCTCCTCGCGCTCGATCTTATATAAATATATTCAAAATGACCTCTTTCATTTCTGCACTCAGGTGTCTTTTTTTAGAGCGTTTCCTAGGTGGACTACAGGAGTTTACAACTTCATCGGCAGTATCTGTACTACTGGGCATTTTGCGCAAGCAGTTGATAACAATAACAATCAATAACAAGGTATAACAATAACAACGACAAACTCAACAACTTAATAAGATAACAAACGAAAACGTCCAAAGAAATATCAAATTGCAATGATGCACACGACATACGTAACACGTCTGAACCTGAATGTGACTCTGCCTTGATACGACTGCTCTGCCGCTCGGCATAGGCATTTAATTGCGAATTGACCAATGAGGGCTCCTGTTTTACGTCGAGACGGCGGCGTTAGCGTGAAAATCACCCGAACCTTTTGTTTACATCCGGTCCATCTCTTATCTGAATATACTGTAACTTGGATCTTATATAAGCATAATACAAGGTTTTTATTGCTGTCAAATCATTGATTAGCCTACAGTTTCTGATGAGAAAACCTAAGGCCCTATTAGCATTATTCACAATATTATTTATATGACAGTCAAAACTAAGCCTAGTGTCAAACATAACACCCAAATCACGAACAGTATCAACTCGAGTGACCTCAATTCCCCCAATACTGTATGCATATTCTATTTTACGTAGCTTTCCGGATAAAGTAACTACCTTGTATTTAAAATGTTTCTTGGACCACTTTAGCTTGTCGCTCTATAGACGGGAAAACATAAGCAAAGTTTTTTCAGAGGAAAAACATGTCGAAGCTTTAAACAATTTGGTTTCGTGCTTCTGGATTGAGTGGACATTTTTTGTATTTCATTTGCCATCACATAACACATACCCAGAAGTCACTACTAAAATTGATGTCAGGTGATCATAGTCCCCATGTTTGCCTGACCAATGAAACCACATGTATTGAAAATGCTTTTTTTAAGCTGTATTGGCTTTTTGTTACATTATGTAGGTTTTCTACAAGATATTAACTTAGCTCCAGCAGATGAACACGTTGTAAACTCGTTTTGTAGTTGTACATGTCGCCTAAACGTCATAATGCTTCAGTTATCTATGTTTGGCTCTGATCTGATGTAAAATCTGCTTCAGAACTTGCTGGCTGCTATTAGAATTTTGGTGAGAATATGGAAAAAATATATGACAACATAATAGGAAATATAAAAACTTGTTTAGATCTTGCAACTGATAAAAAAGTGATTTGCTCGACAAAAAAATACACCCTGGTATAACAAGAATATTAAGGCAGCTCAAAATTTGAGAGACAAACAATACAATAAATGTATATTCACAAAATCAAATGATGATTGGGAGGTATATAAAACTCTTAGGAATAAATGTGTATATGTAATTAGAGAAGAAAACAGGAAATTCTACGATAAACAAATCGATAATAACAAGTGGAAGACTTTAAAAAGACTGATCAATTCGAAGCCGCATGATTGTGTAAATCAAGTTCAATTCGAAAACGATACCGAAACAAATTCTTTGGTGATTGCAAAAAACTAAACGAATATTTTGTGGAAAGTATTGTTGATATTTTGGGTATGTACTGCCAATGCTGCACCTGACTATATGAAAATCAGTTTCCAGGGGGAAATGTTGCATACACTGTCAAAATTACACAGCGTATCATTGAATTATCTAAGAAAAAATTAAACAGTTTAAAATCAAATAACAACTGTGCCGAAATCACTACTAAAACCGTGCTGAAAAACTGTTTCGAAATTTTGGGATATCCTGTATTAAATTGGATCAATTGTTCACTGAGAAGCAGTTCTTTCCCTGAAAATTTGAAATGCTCTACAATAACACCAGTTCCCAAAAAAAAAAATTCTAAAAGATGCAGCGATATGAGACCA